GGGCTTTCACCGTGGACGAAGCGGAGTCCAACCCGGGGTCGTCACATGTGGTTGCCGCAAGCCCACCGGCCGCTCCTTCGTCCTCACTCTAGGCCTCCGGCCTCCGCTCACTCAAGCCCGCCGTGTGTGACGCTGTGCGTTTTGTTGTGAAAGCGAAACTACTTTGGCCTTCCAAGAGGACACGACTAGAAATCAGTGGTTAAGTTGTATTTACAACACTGTTACAGAACAGTTCAACCCAAATATTCAGATGTGTGCTGCGCATTTTATGGAGGACTGTTTCCTGATCCTGGGAGAGTAGACTACAGTGCCGGCTGTTCTGACTCACAGACTGCAAGTAAATTTTTTACATTAAAAGAATTTGCCACTGACGATTCAAACGCGAGTTTTGAGCAGTGTAGAGTAGCTTTTGTTGTTTGTCATTTCTCCGATCACAAATGCAGACATGGTTTTATGTTTACGCGGCGCGATGCAACACTACGCGTAAAAAGACAGTAGACAACATTATAATCCGTAATTATGTCCCCACTGGATGCAACAAATGCCTCGTTTATAATGGGTTTGAATGTTTTTGTCTCGTCGCTCCGGCCGGGACACGGCATCACAACATGGAAAGGGGCGTAACATTTCCGTCACACATTTGAGGTATTCGGCCAATCACAACGCACTGGATAGCTGGCCAATCAGATCACACCTCGCTTTTCAGACCAATGAGCTTTGTAAAAATTGACGCATTTCAGAAAGGAGAAACAATAATGTACAGTATGTGGAAAATATTGTGTTTTTTGAACCTTAAACTGCATAAACACATTTCATTACACAAAATACACCAAATCATTTATAATTAAATAAAATAGTGTTCTTTTTAGCAACATCATATGACCCCTTTAAAGACGTGACTCTCACATTCAGCTCTTTACTATTGTGCTCATTCTCAAATAATAAAATAATGATCATAGATCAATTTTCTATTTTCTGCTGTAATACAGGAGAAAACATTTGTGATTGTAACTGTTCCTCAGGTGTGAAATGTAAACAGAAAGGAGGGACTAAACATATCTGACAGTGAATGCGGTGCGCTGCACAATATCTTCTATAGTCTGGCATGTATTTATATATTATATGTACAGGGAGACATGTGACCCTTATATCTTGAATTACATGCAGACCCCTCTATTATATCTAGAACTATTTTTCCCATTCAGAGGAGCCCCACCTTTGAGCATTTTTAAATGCAAATGCATGATTATTGTAGATTGAAAAGTGTCAGTATAAAATATATGTGGTAGAAATCACTCATTCACATGCACAAATGTGGTCAATAAACAATCAAGGTAATCATCTTCAGATAATTTACTACAAAGAATATAAAAAATGGGTGCATGATACCCATTGGTATATCCAGTAACTAAATATCTTTACAACACATAGATGACTAGCTAATTTCAAGCATGTGTCCTAAAACATTTTCAGGCTAATTCTAATTTGGTGAAAAATGGTTAAAAAATTTTTTTTTATACTATTTCAAACTTCATCCATAAGGGGTCAGCATAACCATCTCCATGTATGAGTAGATCACGTGACAACACAAACATTTAAAGAAGCACTCTGCGAGATGAACAGTTTTTGAGAGTTTTTGAGAGCACAACTGATTGAATGTGTGTTTATAGATCAACTATGTTTAGATGGGCTTTGATTTCCCTGTGTTGCATAGCACATTATGATGGTAAGCACATCTGTATACTTTAAAAGAAAATTATTTACTGACATTAAGCTTAATAAATGTTTAAGTTTACTTTGCTAATAATTCATGTTAATGACTTACTTTTTCCTATCTATTTTTCCAGCGTCCTCAGCACAGGACAGGATTGAACAGACTTCAAGAGAAATGACTGAAAGTGAAGGAGCTCAAGTTATTTTAATGTGTAATTATACTACTGCTTCTACAAGTCCGTACCTCTTTTGGTACAAACAGCTACCAAACAGATCACCAACATTCATTCTGAATCAATATACCACTGAGCCTGATTTTACAAAGAAATATTCTGCAACACTGAACTCCACACTAAGAACATTTCCACTGATGATCAAGAGCCTACATGTGTCTGACTCTGCTGTGTACTACTGTGCTCTGAGGCCCACAGTGACTGAAACACACTCAGCACTCATACAAAAACTAAGGAATACACATTACAGGGGACTTACATTGCCAGGCCCCCTTGAAATCTGTATGCACAGAACATGAAGCTCAACAAAATTGGAATGACCGGCATTCACATATGATTGTTTTCAGGTAGTTTCATTTAACACATTGTAATCAAGTTTAAATCTATTTCACAATTCCACAAATTATCCCCCAAATTTATTAAAAAATATTTTAAAACTTTGCAGATTCTGCCTCAGCATAATAATAACTAATAGGGGACAAAATAAAAGAAAACATACTAAAATTACTAAATACTAAAACTAGATTTGAGGCAGGTGTGCAGTGTAAATGCAGATATAGGATACAGAAAAATAAAAAAAATCAGATTTGGGCATCCAGACCTGCAGTGTAAATGCAGCCTAAATGTAATGTTTAATTCTAAACTATGTGCAGATGTGAGGGGGGTTTTGGCATCAAAGAGGAGGAGTTTGGCATATTGATCCAAGATGATCTTGTTACATTTGCTAGACTGTTACAAAGCTCAGTCCTGCTGCAGTGACACACATATGTACAATAATATTTAATTCAGTCATTTTGCTTTCTGCCTTGATATGTAAGTGCATTTGTGTATGTTTTGCATGCATTCACATTTCTAATTTAACACTGTACATATATATATTTTGTCAAATAATCTTATCTTACATGCTTAATTAACTTTTCATTGAAAATATAAACTTATTACATCCTTAAATACTGTACATTTCCCCCTGCTTTTACAATGTAGAATCCTATATCACAATGACAATGCAACATTACTATTTAATATAATTAACTATTATTGTTTATTGTATGCTTAATTTCAAATCACTATAGTAAATCAATTTAATAATTTACAAATTATTATTATTTTTTATCTCTCTCCCTCTTTTCCAGGTGTGAGTTTTGGAGATGAAATCACAGCAGACAGCACTGAGGAATCTGCTGCAGTGGGTTCAACTGTTACTTTATCCTGCAGTTATTCCTCTGCACAATCACTTCAATGGTACCGTCAGTATCCCGGATCAGCTCCTCAATTTCTTGTGCTTATAATAGAGAGTGTGAAAGAGACTAAGACATCTGATGTAGATCCCAGATTCTTCACTAAGCTCCGAAAAGAAAAACAAGATACAAAAGAAATCAAACATGTGGATCTGATCATCTTCTCTGCTGCTGTATCAGACTCTGCTCTGTACTACTGTGCTCTGAGGTCCACAGTCACAGGAAACACAAGAACACTGTACAAAAACCTGACACAGATGAAGGTGTAAAACCAATTTCTTTCCATAATATAGGTACAGTATATTATAAATTCACACTGTATTAATATGAGATAAACTATAAAACAATATATAAACTATACAGTTGCAGCAGTGGTATGATAAATTATGCATATTTTTTTAACTTATGAATGCTATTTGTTTGCACTCTCCTCTAGGATGCAAGTCACTGACTAAACATTGATTTAAATACAGTTCAACTTGCAATTTTTGTACAGTCACATTAAAGGGGTCATATGATGCATGCAAAAATTCATTTTATTGTTCCCTAAATTCTGTGTTTTCCATGTTTTTCTTATGGATTCCGTGTTTTATGATTCAGTACAAATTTATCATAAAAAATTATGTCTAGTGAAATTAATTAATAAAACTTTAACAATTTAACCAATCTTTAACCAAATGTAATCAAATGAAACGTCTCAGGTTAGGCATGTAACCATGGTTCCCTGAGAATAGGGAACGAGATGCTGCGTCCTCTAGAGGGCGCTAGGGGAACGCCTTCGGAATGACCGGTGTCTGAAGCATGAGTCTAAACAAGACAATGAACTTGACATTGGCAGGCGGCAGCCCATGACCTCATAACTGGTGCGGTCGAAAGTATAAAAGGGCACCTGTGAATTACGTCATCCACTTCTTGTCTGAAGGAGACGTATGCAGGGATGCCTGAAGCATGGCCAAGGGACGGAGTGTCTCGTTCCCTATTCTCAGGGAACCATGGTTACATGCGTAACCTGAGACGTTCCCTTTCGAAAGGGAACTCTATGCTGTGTCCTCTAGAGGGCGCTAGGGGAACGGTATACCAACACCGCCATGCTGAAGGGAAGAGTGCCTTATTGGCTGAGCCAAGACAAGACTCAAGGAGTCCTCACCCCTGCACCAGAAATGCAACCATAGACCAGAACTTCTAAGGACAAAGAGGCTCACAGAGAGCCTAACGCTCAGATTAGCTAAATGGCCCGTGGAGCTCTGCAGAGTGGAGGCCTAAATACAACCCTTCTCAAAGTGAGAGGTGGCCTAGCACACTCCATATAAGGTCAGTAGCCAAGGGGGCTCCAAGAGAGCCTAACAAGCTAGCATACTACCCTACCGCCTAGCCGAGCTCTAGGAGCGGAGACCTCAACATGAGGAGGCCTAACTAACACCCCACGCTCAGGACATCTTGTAAGGAGGCTCACAGATAGCCTACAACTCACAGATCCTGTCCTAGCGGAGCTCTCGCGAGCAGAGGCCTCAATAAATAACCCTCTGTAGCGAGAGGAGGCCTGACGACGCTCACAGTAAATGTCCGAGCTCTAGGAGCGGAGAGGCCTCAACATGACGACTCTCTAAGCGAGAGGAGGCCTAACTACACTCCGTGCTCAGAACATCTTGTAAGGAGGCTTACAGAGAGCCTACAACTCATTGACGCTTTCCTAGCAGAGCTCTGGCGAGCAGAAGCCTCAATAGATAACTTTCTGTAGCGAGAGGAGGCCTGACTCTGCTCGCAGTAAATGGCCAAGCTCTAGGGGCAGAGCTCCAATCCTTCTGCTCGACTAATTTATTTAATTTATGATTTAATGCCATGTCAGCAGCAGTGGCTATATTCATGGCAAAAGGAAACATTTAAATTCCACAATTCAGTCATATATATATATAAATTCAAAACAATTATGTAACAGTTTTGTTTGAAAATTATAAATAAATAAATAAATAAATAAATAAATATGTTAGCTTCTCAAAGCCAGATGACTACACATCATTTTATTCCTCCGAATTAAATGCAGCCAAACAACCAAACAAGTGAAACAGGGTCTGGATGTTAAGCTGAAAATCATCAAAATATATGCAATATAAAAGAATTGTGAATAACAGCTTGCAACGCATACATTTTGTTGCAGACCCATAACGAGATTCGAGCCGCTCGATTCTATATTGCATAAGAGCTTCTACCCGCAAGAAGAAAAACGCATCGCATTTTATGAATGAACATAGCTCCCACGAGAGCTGACTGTGGGTGCTCCGCTCCCAAACAAACCACTCATAAATCGTGTGTATCCCCACACATGATATAGCGAGAGAAAAACAAGCCATCTAAAAAGCAGTATTAATGCTAACCATATCAACCTCCTCGGAGGAAGATAGCAGCAGCAAGCTCTCACTCGGAGGGGGAAGAGACCGCAGCGCGGACTTCCGAACCCCGAGAGAGAGTGCTAGATCAGAGGTGAACACATCGCGAAAAATTCGCTCTAAACATTCCACCCAAAAGCGCGTCCCACATCCCTCGAGAATAGGAACATCACAAACGGAGCTTCATAGAGAAAATTTCCCTTTCAATGCATGCATTCTGCTCCCTCAGGAGCTAAAACGTGCTTGCTCCTAACTCATGAACAAACAGACATCTCCTGAAGACAAGAAAGAGGATGAAGTAATTCACAGGTGCCCTTTTATACTTTCGGCCGCACCAGTTATGACGTCCTGGGCTGCCGCCTGCCAATGTCAAGTTCATTGTCGTGTTTAGACTCGTGCTTCAGACACCGGTCATGCCGAAGGCGTTCCCCTAGCGCCCTCTAGAGGAGCAGCATAGAGTTCCCTTTCGAAAGGGAAATCAATTTACAACAAAACATTGCATTTTTATTTATTTTATTTTATTTTATCAGACAGGATGCTGCACAACAGAAAATAACTCGGTTGTATGATATTCCTTAAAAATAATAATAGCATTATTACTTTGAGAATTGCATTATAGTATACAGAGTAGTAATATATTTAATCATATAATTTCAAGTTAAACCGGACTTTTATTTTGACGGTTTGTCGTGAAGGTCTTTCAGTTTTAGTTTTAGTTTCAGCATGTATTTGACTGTATTTTTTCTCAAATGAAACTGCATAAAGCTGGTGATGTGACTCTCAGAGCAGCCCACGGGCACCACATTGGTGACCACTGACTTATACTGTCTTTTTACTCGTTGTGTTGCGTATAGCGCCGCGTAAACATAAAACCATGTCTGCATTTGTGATCGGAGAAACGACAAACAACAAGCGCTACTCTACACTGCTCAAAACTCGCATTTGAATCGTCAGTGGCAAATTCTTTAAATATAAAAAACGTACTACAGACCCCTTTAAATGAAGTTGTGTATATGAAACAGATCTGATGTGCTCTGCTCTCTCAAAGAGTTCTCTGAAAGAGGTGGGGTTTAAAGCACTTATATCTGATGTAATCTTCTTAAACTTCAAGTCTGTTAGAGAGAGAATAAGAAACACTCACCATGATGCTCCATCCTGTAATTCTGCTTTTTGTCTTTTCGTGTAAGTATTGAATTGTTGTGCATCTAAATACTCTGAGAAGGCATAATGGCTAATTTCTTCTCAAAATTAAAGTATAAAGCTATTTCTTTATGTTGTATATTGCATTCTATACTGAACATCTAAACTGAATGTAGATTAAATTTCATTAAAGATTTGGTCTACTTTTACAGATGCAACATATGGAAATGAAATCAAACCAACCAAAACAGAGGAGTTTGCTGATGAGGGTTCAAGTGTTAAATTATCCTGCAGTTATTCATCTGCATATACTCTGTACTGGTATCGTCAGTATCCTGGATCAGCTCCTGAGTTCATTGTGCTCATCTTAGACAGTGCAAAACAAGCTCAGGAGTCTTACGTAGATTCCAGATTCACTGCCAAAGTCACCAAAGACAAAGAAAACCATGTGGATCTGGAGATCTCCTCTGCATCTATATCAGACTCTGCTCTGTACTACTGTGCTCTGGAGCCCACAGTGACAGGAAACACAAGAACACTGTACAAAAACCTGACACACAGCATTGCATCTACATCACACATATCCAACCTCCATATCTGCTATAGGTAACACAAGAGAACACCCCTCTATTTAGCCAAAAAAAGGGACACACACACACACACACAAAGATTCACTTAAAAGATGCTTCTCCAAGTATTCATAACATTTTATAAAGCAACCATGTTCAAAGAGGTGATAAGATCATAGTTAGATGCATTTGCATTTTGCCAGGTTGTGAAGCAGGTGAGGTTTCAACATGTTGTTGAACCTGACAGAGACATGTGTCATTTAAGCTAAGAATGTAAGCACACGTACAGTGATGACCCTCCTTTTAGCTATTCTAAACAAATGTGCATGGGTATATTAAAAAAAACTATAACTCCTATCTCAATAAAGAATTGTTCAGGGTTTACAAAATAATATCATGTTTAGCTATTTCAAACTTCATCCACAGCTTCATGAGCCTCAAATCATCACAACAAACAAGCTCTTCAGTGAGCATTCAACTATTATATTATAATAGCGTATGCAGTGGGGATCTGACCTGAATCTGGAATTCAAAATCTAATTTAAATCCAGAAGTATTTAAACTTTGAAACATTAATGTTCATTTTATTGGTTCATTAATAATTAATGTTTGTATAAAGAAATACAAATATACTATAATTCCTTGCAGCAAAAGCTTTCCTCTAACCAATGGCAGAGCAAAAACATGAGAAGCAGTAGATGATATCGTCACACAGAAAGCAGGAAGTTCCAGTGTGTTTGAGTGTGAAACTGCAGAGACTCACAGTAACACAGATCTACAGCTCAGAGCACAGACTACATTAATACACACCTGATCTGAACTAGTCAACATGGAAACACACCTGCTGCTGATTTTAATTTTGACTTCAGGTATGACATTTTTATTCGTTACAGTATTCAGACACATTCAAATGAAATAGTTTTGTGTTACTTGACTCAGAAATTATTTTGTTCATTTGTTTTAGGTGTGATGACTGCAGACCAGATTAGACCAAATCAAGAAACTAGTGTCATAAAGGAAGAGGAGACTGTGACCCTCAGCTGCACATATGATACAAGCAGCAGTTATGTTTATCTGTACTGGTACAGACAGTATCCTAATAAAGAGCTTCGCTATTTGTTATTCAAGCCTGCACGATCAGGTAGTGCAAGTGGGAGTCCCGATGATCCTCGCTTTCAGTCGACTACATCACAGACATCCACTAAACTCACTATTACTGGTGTAACTCTGTCAGATTCAGCTCTCTATTATTGTGCTCTTAAGAGTAGGAGCTCAGAGATACAAAGTCTATGTGAAGCCGTACAAAAACTCAAATTAATTTTCCCCTTTGATGTCAAGCCATATCAAACCCACAATCTAAAATTCACACAATTTAATTTCACATGTGGAAGCACACCTGTGTGTGGTTACTGAAAATGTAATGAAAAGGAAACACAATTACATTTTAGAATTACATCACAACTCTCTTTAAGGAAGTTTCCCACTCCAAGTCAAATTATTCAAATAGTGCAAAATAAAATGTCAAATTTATTTCTTATATATTCTGATTACTTGATTCTGACATTAATTACTTGCAAATTATGTTAGAATATATTAAAGTTAAATTTAAATGGTTCAGCTAAGCAAAAAATATTTAAACTAACCACAAGGAGGCATCAGTCTTCAAAATCTTATGAAGAACCTAAAATAGCAAAGAGAAACAGAGACTATACTGTAAGAAAAAAACACTTGTTAAAATATTCTCCTTTTTTAACTCGGGCAATTATATTACTCTTTTCTTCACAGCACATGATTTTGGTAAGAACATTTACACCACCATTTCTTCACTAAGTTCACATGAATAATGTATAAATCTATTTTCCAGTGTGCTGGGAACAAGACAATGTTGAACAACATTCAAGACAAATGACTGCAAATACGCAGCTCAAGTTACTCTACTGTGCAATTACTCTACAAATGCTTAATCTCCTCTTGTACAAACAGCTACCAAACAGATCACCAACATTCATTCTGAGTGAATTTACAGTTGGTAAAGGAACCACTGAGGATGAATTTAAACAGATATTTTCTGCTTCATCAAGAACAGTTCCACTGATGATCAAGAATCTGCATGTGTCTGACTCTGTGTACTGTACTGTGAGCTACTGTTCATAGGCCCGTGGTGACAGAACCCTTTACTCTCATACAAGAACATTTAGATCTATTATATCTATTTAAATACCTTCATGTTGCATTAAAAATTAAATGTAATTAACAATTTGTTAAGGGTTATGCATAACAAAACTGATATTTTATAATAGCTGTATTCCATATTTTTATTTGATCTGTAATCTGCACATTATCTGTCCATATATAATTGAGAAATTAGATATGAATCAAAATTAATGCTAAATATTGTACAATGATTCACAAATCCTTTCAGTCAAACTATCTGTATTGTAGGTGGGGGGAGTGAATGTACAGTGCTCTCTCCCACCTTCAATACCACGACAAGGTGCCCTTGAGCAAGGCACCGAACCCCCAACTGCTCCCCGGGCGCCGCAGCATAAATGGCTGCCCACTGCTCCGGGTGTGTGTTCACGGTTTGTGTGTTCACTGCTGTGTGTGTGCACTTTGGATGGGTAAATGCAGAGCACTAATTCCGAGTATGGGTCACCATACTTGGCCACTTCACTTCACTTCTTCACTTCAATATTCAGATACTGAGACTCCTCCTCCAGGTGTTTGTAAATGTGTTCAGTGTAACTTTAGCGAGAGAGACTGAAGCAACAAGGGGGTTAAAAATCTGTTCTACTGTAGATGTGTTCATTTTGTTTAGTTTAATTTAACACAGCACATTTACACAATTATGATGACACACTGGCAAAAATATTTAGTGTTGTTCATCTCATATTTTTGGGGTAAGTAGATTTTCTTCCATTTTAAATTTGGAATGAACGAAGGATTGAGTTATTCAAATGGTAAATGATTTTCTAAATTCCAGGGTGTAAATCTGAGGATGCTGTCCACCAGAATATGAGAGTTCAAACAGCAGATGAATGTGCAGCAGCTGCAATAATCAATTGCACGTATACAGGCATTGATCCATCGCCAACTCTCTTCTGGTATCAGCAACAAGTAAATGGATTCCCAAAATATATGCTGTCTACTTATGGAGCTAATGACGACGATTTTAAGAAGAGATTTAATGCACGTCTAAACACAGTAACAAAATCAGCTCCTCTGACAATCCAGGATGTGCGTGTGTCTGACTCTGCTGTGTACTACTGTGCTCTGAGGCCCACAGTGACTGAAACACACTCAACACTCATACAAGAACTATGTGTGGGCATTCACAAGCTTTGGAAATATTACCAAGTATAGTTTTCTATTTTGTCTTTTTATTGTTACATATTTTAACTGGTGTTATTTTTCTAAATATTATTAATATAATTAAACATAAAATATCTTTCTATTATTCTTCACAAACCATGAATGTCTTTTTCAGGACATTTCTTAATAAGTATTTGTATTACTTGATAAACTTTATTACCACAGGGTAAATATTAATGTCATGAAGCTGCAAAACGGTCTCCCCTAGAAACACGTCCACAAGACACTACTCTTGTGTTGCAGAAATCTAATAACTTTATGTGTATTCTGTTACTGCTTTCTGATTGTTTTTCACATTTGTAAGTTTTAAAATTGGGATAAAAATGTCAGTTAGAATATACATAAATTCACCACAGGGAGGCAGCATCCCTCAAAGTGTTTTCAAGGAAACAGGCGGCATGTGAGAGCTTGAAGACTTGAAACATCAAGAGAAAAGCAGCACAGAGCAAACCAAGAGCTAGAGTAAAGACAGAGAGACACATTCATTAGAGCACATGTTAAAATATTAATCTCTATCTCAGCAATGGAAAAATGGGCGACAATCACACTTTTCTTCACAGCTCATGATTTAGGTAAGGAAGTTCTTAATTTCCAATTCATCATTTGTTCATATGTGAGCTACTTAATATATGTAAAAGATGAATAATTAAATCTATTTTCCAGTGTGCTGGGGACAAGACAGAGTTGAACAGCCTTCAAGAGAAATGACTGCAAGTGAAGCAGATCGAGTAACTTTAATGTGTAACTACACTACCAAAGCTACAAATACAGATGCTTATCTCTTCTGGTACAAACAACTATCAAACAAATCACCAGCATTCATTCTGAACAAATTTCCATTTAGTGAAGGAACAACTGAGCCTGATTTTAAGAAGAGATTTTCTGCAACACTGAATACAACATCAAAAACCGTTCCACTGATGATCGAGGATGTGCGTGTGTCTGACTCTGCTGTGTACTACTGTGCTCTGAGGCCCACAGTGACTAAAACACACTCAACACTCATACAAAAACACACAAAATAAATGGAAAACTCTAACTTTGTTAACAAAACACTATAAACAAAGTAGAAACATTATGAAAAGTTATTTTCACCAAGTGAGAATCAGTAATAAACAATAAGGTGCAATTTGTGGCAAACCATCAAGGATCAAGTATTTAAAGTTCGAGATGAACCTGGAGTATTGAAGTTGCCAAAATAAAACAGAGCAGATCTACAGTATTTCCATTGTGTTTAATTATGTTTTCTCTTCAACCTTTTTAACAGAGTGCAGTTTATTGATTCCGAAATTGTAACCAGACCAAAAGAGACCAATCACACATTTTCTGATTTCTTTTTTCCAAGGCTGTTTTGTTTGGTTTTAAAACTGTCACCTCCAACCAATCACCTGCATCTGAAACCATCAAACCTAAAAAAAAAAAGCCTGAAGACACACCTCTTCTGTGAGGACTAAACTAATGCATTAGAATTGGAGCACAGAGAACATTAATACATTCATCTGACCTAATAAATATGGAAAAAGTCCTGTTTCTGATTTTAATTCTGGCTCAAGGTACAGTATGACTCCCTTTATTCATTCTAGTGGTGTACAGTAGAAAAACTATAAGTGTAAGAATTAGTACTGTCAAATGATTAATCGCAATTAATCGCATCCAAAATAAAAGTTTGTGTTTACATAATATATATGTGTGTACTGTGTATATTTATTATGTATTTATATGCACACACATACATGTGTTTTTAAAATATTTGCATGTGTATATATTTACATTTATATATTATATATAAATGTGAATATTTTTTCTTCTTCAATATATGTATGGATGTGTGTGCATTAATATATACATAGTAAATACACAGTAGACACACATATATTATGTAAGCACAGACTTTTATTTTGGATGCAATTGTATTTTGTAGCACTAGTATTAATTTTGTGCAACTTGTCTAATTGTCTTATTTCTTTGTTTTAGGCGTGATGACTGCAGACCAGATTAGGCCAAATCAAGAAACTAGTGTCGTGAAGGAAGATGAGACTGTGACCCTCAGCTGCACATATGATACAAGCAGCAGATATGTTACACTTTACTGGTACAGACAGTACCCTAATAAAGAACTTCAGTATTTAATGTGGAAAGAAGCTCGGGAATGGAGTGATACTGGGACCCCAGCCGAACCTCGCTTTCAGTCGACTACATCAGAATCATCCACTGAACTCACTATTACTGGTGTAACACTGTCAGATTCAGCTCTCTATTATTGTGCTCTAAGAGTTGGAGCCCAGTGATGCAAAGTGTATGTGAAGCTGTACAAAAACTCTAATTCATTTTTCACTTTGATCTCAAGCCATATCAAACCCACAATCTATAATTCACACAATATAATTATACTTGTGGAAACACCTGTGTGTGGTTGCAGCTGACATTTATAATCAAGTTATAAAGACAAATGAACATAGGTATATTCAATATATGCATGACCAGTCCTAATAGATGTGAACATCTATCATGAATAATAATAAAACAAAAATATCTTAAGATTAAATAAAAAAATTTAAATAAAATAAACCTGATTTAGATAAATAGATTTTGTTGAAATCTACAATAGACACTTGTTTCAGCCTCTGTTGATAAAGTTATTGTAACACTGTCACATATGCAAAGACCTGCAGGAGGAGTCTAACAGCACATCTGATTGACTGTCCATCTCAGCGAATGTGCTAAGAATAATGTATTATCCCTCGAATTCTTATATAAAGCTAAACCTTAAGAATCTAAAACTATAAGAAAAACAAATAAGTTTTTCTTTCTAAGAACATTATCCTGTCATCTTATCTATCCTGGCACATCTTGATTCAGATATGTAAAGATCATTATATGTAACATCATTTTACACAATAATGTAATATTATGCATAATCTGTCAAAGGATATTGCACTCTATGGTTTATATAATTCAATAATTTGAAATGATTTCAAAGGTTACAAATGAAAAAAAAAAACCTGAAGTTTTTAATATAATGAATTCACCACCTGGGGTCAGCATCTCTTAATTTATTGTGTCAGACTGTTCAGTTGTTGAAAACATCAAGAGAGTAACTGAGAGATTTGCCATAAGGAGAGACTCACATCAGTTGTCTGACACTTACTCTCTCCAACTCTGACCAACAATATGACAAAATGGCTGATTATTACTCTTTTATTCACAACACATTATTTTGGTAAGAACAGTCTTTCATTTACTCTTAATTTATTTGAGTTACTTAATATCTGTGAATGATTGTTAATTTATGTCCCATCTTTTCCAGTGTGCTGGGGACAGGACAGTGTCGATCAGCCTTTAAGAGAAAAGACTTCTGCAGAGGGAAATCAAGTGACTTGTGTAATTACACCCTCATGAGTTCTGCAAATTCTTATCTCTTCTGGTACAAACAGCTACCAAACAAATCACCAACGGTCATGCTGAGTGACTTTTCCATTGGGAAGGGAACTACAGAGCCTGAATTTCAGGAGAGATTTCATACAAAACTGGACTCCAAATTAGAAACAGTTCTCCTGACAAGGATGTGCGTGTGTCTGACTCTGCTGTGTACTACTGTCCTCTAAAGCCCACAGTGACTGAAACACACTCAACACTCATACAAAAACATGACTCCATGACATTGATGAGAAATGCATAACTACAATGAATCAATAAGAATGAAATAAAAATAAAAACAAACACAGTAGTTGAGACTCGAGTAACAACAATAACAATCTTTTAATGGTTCAAGAGCATTCTAGAATTAGTTTAGTTCACCAAACTAAAAAAAAGAGTCCAAGTGCATGAACCAATGTATATGAAGAGATTGATAAAACAAACATCAGAACATTGTAAAGTCATTAAAATACACCCAGAATTCTTCAGGAGGAGGAGACAGCCACACTGTGTGTGTTCAGATACTGTGCAGTCAGACTCCTCCTGCAGGTCTTTGCATATGTGACAGTGTTAGTACAACTTTACTAAATAAAGTCTAAAACAAAAGTCCACTGTATACTTCAAGCTTATTTGATCTAATTTATTATTTTAATAATTTATGTGATGGCAACTGGCAAAAAATTGTAGTCATCTTTACCACATATTTTTGGAGAAAGACAATTTTTTAAGGAATGTAATATTTTGTCCTTTTAATATGAGATCCTCATCAGTGATGACTTGCTGGAAAGTGTTGAACAAAATACAACAGTTCAAACTGCTGTTGAAGAAGCAGCTGTAACAATCAGCTGAAACCACTGATATGTCTTAAGATATCTTCTGGTCCCAGCAAAAAGTAAATGGATTCCCCGAATACATGCTGAACAGATTCGGTACAAATGACAAGCCGCTTGAGGATAGATTGAACAGCAGTCTTAACCAAATTCAAAATCAGTTTCTCTTACAATCCAGGATGTGCGTGTGTCTGACTCTGCTGTGTACTACTGTGCTCTGAAGCCCACTGTAACTGAAACACACTCAACACTCACACAAAAACATGATATTGTGATCAGTCAGTCATCACTGAGGACCACTGCACACTGGACAGGCTTAGTGCCATAAAACACTATCAAACTAGACCAAAATATATGTGACATTTTGTAAGCAAACACAAAAAAAACAATACTTATACCTCACAAAGTTTATATTAGAACAGAACAGAAAAGGTCAGTTTGAAAAATCAACACTATGCTATCTGACTTCTCATATATGAACTACAACACATTCCAAAAGAAAGGGAACTGTATACTAGAAGTTGTGTCAGTTAAATTGGATTTAATGTGAATAGTAGGACAGTTTAACAAAAATTCTACAAATAGTTTGCCGCATGTAGATTATTCTAAGAACCATAGCATGTATAAGAACGCGTGGCATAAAAGAGTCAATATCAACGTTCTTCAAAATATCTTCTTTTGTGTTCAGCTGAAGAAAGTCACACAGGTTTGGGACAACATTTGGTGAACTATCCTGCTAATGAGTAAGTTTTGATTACATTTAGTTATGAAACTCTGAATTTAAAAAAGGAATAAAGGTATGCACATGAGTTAAACTGATATATATTATTCCTCATAATATTTACATTATGAAACAAAACGAGAGATAATCGGTTATGATGTCACTGACCACAACCAGACTTCTCATAGACAGCAGAGCACCTCCCCAGTCAGTTATCTGTGCCTCCATTTTTATCACACACTGCCGTTAAAAAATTGGGATCAGTAAGATTATTAAGTATAGTAAAATAAAGTATCTTAAAATAGAAAACTGTTATTTTAAATTGTAATAATTTTTGACAATATTGCTTTTTTGATAAAAAATAAATGCAGCCTTGATGAGCATGAGAGACTTTAAAAAACATTAAAAATCTTATTGATCCCAAACTTCTGAATGGCAGTATACCATATATACAGTATACGGCACCATATGGGTGAAAGTGAACAGCAGCAGGAAGTTCAGAGAGAAGGAAGTTCCTGTGTGTTTCTGACTGATCTGCAGTGACTTACAGCTCAGAGCACTGAGAGACTCAACAGAGAACTGAACTGATCAGATTGAACATAGACATATGCTTTATACTGATTCTCATTGTGGGAACAGGTATATTATTTACTGAACAATGAATGAAAGTCTCTATATTAATATTTACATTGTTTTAAAGTCTCAAACTCCAAATCCTTTAATGGTTTGATTTTACTGATTGATTTTTCTCTGAAAAAAAGTAAAGTGTGTTTGCGATATTGTTTTCTACCTTGATTTCATAAATCAAAATTATATTGTTGACAGGTTTGGTGGCTGGAGACAACATTGAGCCAGATAAAGGGACAGAAAAAAACTCTAGAGAAGGAGAAATGGTCAAGCTGAGCTGCTCATATAGTTCAAGTAGTGAATATGTTGTGCTTTACTGGTACAGACAGTATCCCAACAGAGAACCTCAGTATTTATTACTCAAAGGTGCCCGATCACGTCGTGATGAAGACACCTCTGACGGCCGATTTAATTCAGCTACAACACGCACATCCACTGAACTCACTATTACTGATGTACGTCTGTCAGATTCAGCTCTCTATTATTGTGCTCTAAGAGTAGTAGCCCAGTGATACAAAACATGAGGCATGTTGTACAAAAACCTGAAGCTCTTTTCTCTTTGAAAATATCTAGTGAAAACCACAATCAAAACCCCAATCTATCCAACTCTTAATGTAATAAAATATGTGGTCACACCTGGGTAAAACTGAATTAATATGTTCTGGATATCACTTTCCAGCTTCAGTGTATGAATACTTCATCTTAATTTCTACATTAATAGCTACATTTTAATCATTATATTTATTATATTTCCAAGAACATTCTTGAACACTGAGCTTCTTCACACTTACAAACTTCATCCAGCTGAATATGATCCAAAGTCTCTTTAGCAAATGCAAAGTCACATGCATTTGCGATATTAACAATATGTGATCATGCCTTATAATTAAATGGTGTTTATAGATCAGTAATTTTGGTGTTCAAAACCAATAAAATAATAAAATGAATCTCTCTCACTTCAAAGTTGAATCCTTTTTTTAATCTGATGAAAACGATGTAATTTCTAAAATTGGCCACAGTGTGGCATAATCTATGATGTTGGTGGGAATTATAATTTATTATTAAACTCTGCAAACAATTGTGCACTGGAAAATTATAAAGACAAACACTGACTGTCATCAAATTGAATCCTTACATAAGAACATTTCTTTACACAAGATACTTTAAGATTCCCAGTTTACATGCTCCATAAACTCTCAACTGGAAGAAACAACAGTGGAATGAATGAATGAATGAATGAATGAATGAATGAATGAATGAATGAATGAATGAATGAATGAATGAATGAATGAATGAGGAAGAAAATATTTTGTGCAGATCCCAACAAATCCTCAAGCTCAGTTTCACTGTCAATCAAGGATGAGTGTGTCTGACTCTGCTGTTTACTACAGTACTGTGCTCTGCAGCCCACTGTGACTGAAACACATAAACATCCATCCTGACATATGCAGTTTCTGACATATGCTTTATTATTATTATTATTATTATATATTTTTATATATTCACACTGAGTGTAAGACAGAGTAAAACAGTTATTCAAACATCTCTCTGTCTCTCTGAAGACATCATGTCTCTCTTTAATAATAATAATTCAACTTTGCATGGGTAAGAGATATTCACTCAATCAATATGTTTGTTATGAAATACCGAAATACATGAAAAAAAAAACTTCATTTGAGGCTATTCCTATCTGTCAAGTTACTTCTTTACGTGCACAATTTCCCCACTTGAAAGGGAGAGACACATCAACAGAGGCCTTAACTGGATTCCACTTTTCTTTTATTTGCATCATTTATGATGAAATGTGATAACTTGTAGCAGAAAAGTGAAAAACCTTTAATCAGAAACAAAGGTACAACATGTAAATGAATTGCAAATAAACTTGTTAAACAACCATTGCTGTCATGTGATTCTTTGTGTCTGTTTTGATATACAGCATTCTTCAATGATATTATTACTTAATACACTTGTTAAAGTGCAATCTGAAGCACAGTTAAGACAACCTGATTTTTTAGAGTTTCAAGGCATGTATATGAAATCAGATTAGTTACATTATTAGCTTACTCACACTTCAGAATATAATCAATATTCTATCGTCACTCTACCAGCAAATGAAACGAAATCAAAGATAAACAAAACAATACACTCATAACTTTATAACATTGATATATGCTATACACATTTAACTTGAAATTGTTAAGCAATGAACAGATAAACACAGAAATAAATAATGTAATATAGGCTAATCAAAAACATGGAAGCATACTGTATGCACATTCTAAGATTAATCATTGTATACATATACATAATTAAGTGATAAGGTTTTACATATACACAGTATTACAGTCTTCACTGACACTCACTGTAGCACAGGCTCCTCCCAGCAGTCAGACAAAGTGATCTGAATTTATTGCTGCTTTAACAGATGTAGAAAGAGGAAGGGAATCATCACATGCATCACACTCTGCATATTTTTTAAGAGTCTGCAATTTCAACTGTATATAATGGCACTGTGGAAAAGTGCCATTGTGATCATAGTTTTATATATCTGGGGTGAGTAGCAAAATCAATGATTCTTTTCAAATATATTTCATATGAATTTTCCTTATGTGTGTAATGTGCATATTTATTAATATTGTTTTAATTCTGTTTCAGGTTGTAATTCTCAAGACAAAGTTGATCAGCACACAAGGATTCAGTTTGCTTTTGAAGGTGATACTGTAACGATCGACTGTACATATCAGACTGCTTATCCAGGCCCGACTCTCTTCTGGTACCAGCAGAAAGACAATGGAAATCCCAAGTACATGTTAAATAAAGTTTCTAAATCTGGAAACAGTGAGGAAGAATTCAAGGAGAGATTTCATGCAAATCTCAGCACAACTTCAGTTCCACTGACAATCCATGATGTGCGTGTGTCTGACTCTGCTGTGTACTACTGTGCTCTGAGGCCCACTGTGACTGAAACACACTCAACACTCACACAAAAACTCTGACAATGCAACAGCATACATTACATAATGTAATTTAAAGCTATCTATTTTATTTTATGATTTTCTGTTAGAATAAACTGTTTAGTCTATGATTTAATTCTTAAAACCAATAAATATATTCTATTTTAGTAGGTGTCTATCAATTACAAGTTTCCATGATCTAAATTTAAATTAGTTATATTTACATTTGCCTTTATTTTCCATTACTTTTGGTTTCAGTTGATTTCATACTGCTCATGCCACTAAAACATATAACCATCACAAATCTGGTTATTGCTATAGAAACCTCTTTAGTGAATGTGTAGTATGCATGTGCAGAAAGACATGAAAACCAGAAGAGGGCGACATGCACTCAACATAAACATTTAATAAGATGTTCTTTAAGGAGTTAAATTATGAGTTATTGAGTAAGTTATTGAATAATTTATTTGCAGTTGTAATGACATGTGAATTTGTAGGTGAAACCCAGGGCTCTATTAACCAAAAAACAAAATAACCTACATAAAGGCCTACATAAACATCCACCATAATGAGAAAGATAATCTTTATCAGATGAGCTTTATCATGATTTTTTTTTTTTGGTTTTTATATATTATAGTTTCATACTTTAGTGTTCATCAACCAAAAGTTTTAATGCTGTGTTCACATCCTCATACGCTGACAGATACAGTAGGTGGAGCCTATAGGGATCTGATTATGAAAAAGAGCGTCTCAAATTTTTCCATGTACAGTGCAAACATGACTATCCTTTTTGTTCTGCTTCTGCTATTGTTGATTAAAAGTAAGAGTTTACATTTGATCAAATAATGTTGTCAATTTGGAGTTTTATGCAATGTTTAGATGTTTAATTTCTTATTTTTTTTAATGATGTTGGACATGGCTTTTATTGAAATGCTGTAATATATTATGCATTATATATGCTGTGATATATTATGAAATTCTGTAATATAATATTAATTCTTTGGGTAATTTTGATAAAAAAAAGTTTAATGGTTGTTTTGCAGAGGAGACATTTGCACAGTCAATAACACCGCTGGAAAACAAGGCACTTAAATCTGAGGGAGAAAAAGTCACTCTGTCCTGTAAATATGATGGAGCTGTTAATAACCTGCACTGGTATCGTCAGCATTTGGGATCCAAACCGGAGTTCATCGCTTATATTTATCCACATGGAGCCACAAGTAACCCTCTTCCTGATCGTATCATACCTAAAGTTGATAAAAACAACAATCTTGTGAGCCTGGAGATCTCTGATGCTCAAGTAACAGATTCTGCGCTGTACTACTGTGCACTGTCGCCCACAATGACAGGAAACTCAACTACACTGTACAAAAACCTCCTGAACAATAAAACTCATAAACTATGTAAATGTTCCAGAATATCTTTCAGAGAATATAACAGAGCAGTTCAGACATGTAGAAATAAAAGCATAAAAGCATTACTACAAAGAAATGCATCTATAAATGCATAGAATTGATCATATAGATATGAGAAAGCAACAGGCAGTTAAAGTTATATTTAAAAAAAGGTTTTTGGTAACAGAACTGCGCAAACAATCATGTACTGTAAATGTCGATATCCAGTAATCTATACAGTGCTTATTTACTAATTTACTATCTATTTCCTCCAGATCCAAAACAGTATTGTAAACCTTACCTGTAGAGATGCAGATGTTAATATGAAAGTGGGAACCATGTGCACCTTGCTTTAAGTCAAGAAACCACAAAAATAACAAACACAGAAACTAGAAAGCACTTTAGAAATGTATATGGTTACGACACGCAGACGTAAATCATCTTATTATAAATTGAATGATGATGATCTTTAATCTATAGAAGAAGCTCCTCCTAAAAAGTGTTTGAGGTCTATTGCATCACAGAGAAGCAAAAGCAAGAAGAGGATCAGAACTTCTCAGTGTATTTTTATGACTTTGGCGATTTCAGTTGGAAAGCACAACAGAGATAATGACACAATGGAAAAGGGTGGTTATCATTCTATTCACATATTTGTGGGGTAAGTGGCACCATTAAATACACTATGTAGTTTTTAGATTCATTTTAAGTTTTTGTAGTAATGCAACTCCCGTGCAGTTTGTGAGATTGTGTTTTCATTTCATTAGAAAATAGACTTACTTTTTTATTCTATTTTAGGATGTGATTCTCTGGACAGTATTGAACAAGAAACAAGAGTTCAAACTGCTGTTGAAGGTGAAACTGTAACAATCAACTGCACATATTCAACCACTGATTCATTTCCATATCTGTTCTGGTACCAGCAAGAAATAAATGGATACCCTAGATATATGCTGAAGAAATTTCCTGGATCTGGTGAGGTTGATAAACAATTTGAAGGGAGATTTGATGCCAATCTCTACACCTCTAGAACATCAGTTCCACTGACAATCCAGGATGTGCGTGTGTCTGACTCTGCTGTGTACTACTGTGCTCTGAAGCCCACAGTGACTGAAACACACTCAACACTCATACAAAAACCCTGCAAATAAATGAGCCCTAAATTAAATTTAGATTACATAAACATCTACAATTTCAACCATTTCACTTCATATCATAAATCAGTTTACCCCATCTTTTAAATGTGGCATTAAACCTAATGTAAATTATATTTAAACAGGTCAACACACAGTGACCAATATTCTGTTAAAACCATATGTTGAGTGCACTCTGTTATTACTAGAAATACATTGAATATGATGTGAGCAGAAATACAACTCTTATTTCAATGCTTTGTTGAACAATGCACGTTTATTACATAACCCTATTGGGGACCAGAAGAGGGCGATATACACTCAGCATTCATGCATCAGCTCTATAAATTGCCATTGACAGTCAGAGAATATGTAAATGAGTGTTACATTAGGCATATTATCACCGACTTATTTAAGAAAAAAAAAAAATCTAAACACTACATGGCTGTAAATAAATTAAATCAGATTTACTAGATTTATTTTATATTTGAACTCAAATATTGATCACCTAGAACTACAATTAATTTCAATGGTGTGTTCTTATTCTGAGCAGTAATAAGGAGGAGCCTGTGGAGGTTTGAGTAAAAGCAAAGTGATCATTTAAACTTCTCACAGTGCAAACATGATGATTCCTTGTGCTCTTCTTCTGCAATTGTTGATAAAAGTAAGTGAAGCTGACTTGTGACTTTTAGACATAATGCAGTTTACATATTTTTAGACTGATTTTGTTTAAATCCTATAATGTTAATGATACAAATTCAGTTTGATGAAATATATTATATTTTATGTTTTCCAGGCGACACATTGGCACAGTCAATAACACCACAGGAAAACAAGGCACTTGCATCTGTCGGACAAATCATAATTTTGTCCTGCAAATATGAGGGAGCTTTAACTAACCTGCAATGGTATCACCAATATTCTAGATCCACCCAGAGTTCCTGGCTTGGATTTACCCACAAGCAACCCACTTCCTCCTCGTATTATACCAAAATTGGACAGAAATCTTGTGAGCCTGGAGATCTCTAATGCTGAAGTAACAGACTGTGCCATGTACTACTGTGCACTGATGTCCACATGGACAGGAAACTCATGTACGCTCTACAAATAACTGCTGAACAATAAATAATGTCTCTCTCTCATTTCTTGAAATCTGTCCCTATACTTAACAAATGTGAAATTAATTTCAGTATTTCTTTACACATATTTATAACATTAAATAACACTACATTAAATGCCTACATAAAATGATTTATACAGCAAATAATTTCATATCCTCATATTTTCAGCATATTTTCCTGCCGTTTACTATTTTGTTCTACTTTTTTTATAACTTTAGATATTTTTCCACGACTGTTCATAATGAATAATCATCAACCTCCATCACAAAGTTTCTTCTTTTATCTTTTCAGAGTGTATTCATTACAAAGGATAAAAAAAAATCTAAACCTTCATGTGTATTACTGTGCTCTGAGTGTTTTGGGAAATCAACTGAAGTTAGACTGTAATATGCTATTATTTTCCCTTTTCAAGACTTTTGAAATGTGCTATATTTCTGTTGGAGGAGGTGGAGCTCTAAGCACTGACACTAAGTGATCTTGTTAAAACTCTTCAGTGCCTGTTGCAGAGCTCATTTAAGCTGCATTAGTGAACACAGACAATGGTACGCCGTTCTATTATTCTGCTATTTGTCTTTACCTGTATTTAATTTTGTTGCATTATTCATACAGTATTCATACCACTGAACGAATCACTTATCACACCTGAGTCATCAAAATATCCACATTCGTAAACGTTGATTTACTTTTGCAGGTACTGTGTATGGAAATTAAATTAGACCAAGTAAAACTGAGGAGTTTGCAGTTGAGGGTTCAAGTATTACATTATCCTGCAGTTATTCATCTGCACTGTCTTTATTCTGGTACCGTCAGTATCCCGGATCAGCTCCTGAATTCCTTGTAACCCTCACATATGGTGCAACAGAAGCTAAGAAGTCTGATGTAGATCCCAGATTCACTGCTAAACACAACAAAGAAAAGCAAAACCATGTGGATCTGGACATCTCCTCTGCTAACGTGACAGACTTTGCTTTGTACTACTGTGCCATGGAGCCCACATGGATAGGACACACAAAAACACTGTACAAAAACCTGACACATCTGAGAATACAAATCTATTTATAGGAGGACATTTATAAGAGAATACTTAAATATATATGAAAATGAGTCAATATGTTTCATACTACACACTAAAAACTTGAAGTGTTGAGCACATGCATGCGTACAGCTCGAGAAATCAAAAATATTTATTTACAGTATATATTAAGTTGCAAAAACAATATTAAATGTCTAAAAATATAATTAAATAATATTATATTCCCTGTGAGTGTAAGGACAGCATATAATACTGAGCTGCTATGATACAATCAACAAAACTGTGCTCTTTATAAAATATCAAAACTAAAATTAATTACCCTCATCAAAATGACCCTAATCATCATAAATCAATTTTCTGTTGTAGTACAGCATGTTACACCCATCCATAGTGCATAAAAATCAGGAGAAAACGTTAGTGATTGTAACTGATTGTATCTTTCTTGTTCTCCAGGAGTGAAATGTAAATAGAGAGGAGGGTCTACACAGATCTGACACAATCTAATCAAATCAGACTGGAGTAGAAACGATTCAGTCGTCCAATGATCACAGTGCACTGCACAATGGATGTCTTTTCACTTTTTCTCTTCTGCAGTCTGGCATGTATGCATATTTATATATGTATTATCGATATTGTTAAAGATTAGATTAATTAAAACAGATGTCATTAAACATGTACCTCTTCTTTTTCAGCTGCTGTCTCTGGAAACGTCATACCAGACGAAACAGAGCATTTTGCTGAGGAGGGTTCAAATGTTACATTATCCTGTAGTTATTCCTCTGCAGATTATCTATACTGGTATCGTCAGTATCTCGGATCAGCGCCTGAATTTCTTGTGCTCATCTTTGATGGTGCATCAAACACCGAAAAGTCTGATGTAGATCCAAGACTTTTAGTTAAACTCACAAAACGGGAACAAAAGCATGTGGATCTGGAGATCTCCTCTGCTGCTGTATCAGACTCTGCTCTGTACTACTGTGCTCTGAGGCCCACAGTCACAGGAAACACATCAGCTCTCTACAAAAACCCTTTACCCAGTGAGAGCGAGCAAGAATATAGATCATACAGTCTTACAGTAAATTGACATTATGACATTCACACAACATACCCTCTTAAGACCCGAGAGAAGATTTTTAGGAAAAATAGTTTTTTTCACGTCTTTACATTGTTTAGAGCATAAAAAAAAGAAGAAGAAGAAAAAAAAATGAATAAACGATATTTCATTCATAAGTTATGCTATGTCCTTGGTAGAGGACATCGGGACTCAATAAAAAAAAAAAAAAAAAAAAAAGACATGATTGAACATGCATAGGCAAAAACAATAGATTTTTATTGCCAGCAATATTTTTTAAACAGCAATAGATTTATATAGATTTCAACAATACATATTTAGTTTTCAGGATTTATTTTTTTACCAAAATTTGTATAAAGATATATAACTATGTTATAACAGAATGATTTGATATACCATTTTTCTTTCTGCAAAATGTGTGTAAAATGGCCATAAACAGGTTTTTTCATTATATACAATGTATCTATGAACTAAATCTAATTTGCATATTAATGTGTTTTTGGGGCAACATGTAATGAAAAAAGAAGTGTAATAATGGGAGTAATATTTGACAAGATTTTCATAATAATATATAATATTTCATAGAATATTGAACCATAATTTCTTTCCCTATTCATTTGTTATGTCTCCCAAAATGCTAATAAACATGATTTTAGTCCCAGAGTCCTCATATGAGGACATGTATGAAATCAACATCCTGTTTCGTAACAGAAAGTCATATTTTGATTTGAAACTCCATAACATTTTCCTGAGATGTTGATTTATGACAGACAGTTTAAAAATTAGACAGATTTAAATTATAATTACAAAATATTATAATATTTCCATAAAAGTGTCACTAAATTAATATCAGACATATCTGAAGACCAATGAGAGGGAGTGGTCATAGTGAAACATCAAAACATTTAGTATCTCTGAAAAGCCCTGAATGTACTCTATACAGGACATCCATCCTTAAAACTGGCATGTATAGTCTCAGAGAAATACACCAAAATACAATGTCCTCATATGAGGTCACAGGGTCTCAGGAGGTTAAAGTACTGTCCTTCACTTTGCATGCACTCCACTTTTTCCAAGTAATATAGTAGGTTACATATGCTATAAAAAGTGTTAAATGATAATCACAATGTGCAAGTACAGATAGATAGATAGATAGATAGATAGATAGATAGATAGATAGATAGATAGATAGCTTGCGATCATTTGAATAGTTTGTATGCAAAGCAAACAGCATCATGTGACAGGAAGTTTCTGGGTGTCTTTATGACCTTCAGTGTCTCATACACAGTGCAGAATATTGAAGGACTCAAGCAAGAACTGAGCTGATCTTATTCAACATGGACAGATGCTTTTTAATCATTGTTATTATGGGAACAGGTACATTAATTATTCAGAAAATGAAGAAACAGTGGAGTTTGGAAAATCTAAATCTCCACAATGTTTTAACAAACTTATTTTAGTAATTTTTACTGTTTGTGCGGTGTCTTGTGTTGGAAATGTTTTTGGTTTACTGTATATTCTGCTTTTTGTTCACAGGTTTGGTGTCCGGGGACAGTATTGAGCCAGATAAAGAGAAAAATTTTATCACAAAAGAAACCGAAACTGTCAAGCTGAGCTGCTCGTATAGTACAACCAGCAATGATGTTCGTCTTTACTGGTACAGACAGTATCTACATGGGGAAATTATGTTTTTAGCATATAAAGGTGCTCGATCACTGAGTGCTGCAAATACTGCTGATGATCGGTTTCATGCAACTACAACACATACATCCACTGAACTCACTATTACTGATGTACGTCTGTCAGATTCAGCTCTCTATTATTGTGCTCTAAGAGTAGCCCAGTGATAAAAAACATGAAGAATGTCATACAAAAACCTGAAGCTCTTTTCACTTTGAACTAATAATGAAAACCATAATCAAAACCACAATCTATCCAGCCCTGAATGTAATAAAGTTTGTGGCAACACCTGTGAAGTAGATTAATTTACAGCATAAAAATAAACCAGAAAGAAAACATTAAAATATATTCAGTTTTAATGTGTCATTAGTTCCCTGCATGAATACAATATTAAATTAATCTATGTTTATTCAACAACTTCCTCTTCTTTTAATTTAAGGTGATCAGTAAAATAAATAAATAAAATAAAAGTCAAAAATGATAAATGGAAACCTGTTTTGCTTTTTCTTTTTTTAAATAGTAGTAATGTAATTGCACATCTTTGCCACCTTGAGGCAAAACTGTATCCTGTTATACATACAAGCTCCTCCTATATGTGTTTAACCTGTGCAAACACAGTGAAATCCAAACTCAGACTGGCTCATCATAATCATAAATTCAGACTGTGAATAATATTTCGCTAATATTGCAGGTTTTATGTGAAGCTGTATGTAAACTATGTTAAACTGGTTGAGGAATTTACTTCTACTAGCTGCAGTTGGTAACTTGCCTTTATTTCTTGTTGTCTTTACATCAGAATATGTCACTGTTAACTCTCTCCAGTGGTAAAACCAGCATCTCAGAGCAAACCCTGAGTTTCTACTTCTTGTAACTGAATATTGAAACAAATCTGAGCCTGATCTTTGTCTGTATTCAGAAGCTACAAAAGAAATCAAATCAATGACTGAAATTATCAGAGATAAATCCGAAAACTACTCTGGGTCTTTGTAACATTTTATGAAGCAACTGTATTCAAAAAGGAGGCAATGACAAAATGATACTTAAATGTATTGCCTTTTTTTGGTGAGGGAGGGGCTTGAAGTATATCTGTGAGGATATTTTGCTGAATCTGACAGAGACTGTGTCATAAGATCATTCAAGCTCAGACTGTAAGCACACATATACAACTGTACAATAATACTCCATTTAGTTATTCTGCTTTCTGCTTTAGCATGTAAGTTTCATTTTAATGCATTAGGTCTACATTTAGCCTATTTTCACAATGACGTATGTTAATTAATAATTGCTTTACTTTTACTTTTAGTCATTTAGCAGACGCTTTTATCCAAAGCGACTTACAATTAAGAAAAAGTAATTAAAACTAAAAGCTAAAACTCTATAAATACTATATATATATATATATAAATATATTATTTCATTTCCATTTTGTATGTTAAAGTGCTGAAATAACTCAAAATAAATAAAAGTAAAACTTAATAAAAAGCCTATATAGACATAATAAAAAACTAATAAAATGACAACATTACTACAACTGTAACTAAAACTAAAATAGATAACTAATACAAATCAAAGTACGTAAGTTCATCAGTAATCCTAAAAAAATAACACTGAGGCAAACGCACATGCTAAAATAACAACAACTTACTGACACATAGTAAGAAATAGATTATAAAAACTGAAACAGAAGTGGAAAGAGGAGAGATAAAAAGCCATACCTATGTCCTTTGCCGGTGTCCCTGCCCGGTGGAGTCGCATGGTAGAGTCGATGGTCTTTACACTCTTCGGTCTTACCACGACCGCTTCCGCGGTAAACTAAGCTTCTTTTTAATTCGTTTAACAAAACTCAGATTGAATTCAGCTGGCCACACTTTCCTGTTTATCCCAACAAATGACCAAGCAAAGGGCACGACACTGACAAGGTACGCGATACAGTACGAGACCAAACGCCATTTCAGCACGTCTCCACAGTAAACAAAACAAACGTTTCCTAGCAACGATAACTGCCTAAACACTGAGACAAGAAATAAACACACTTTCAAGCTGCTTTTAACTTCTGCTGATTGACTGCTTCTCACAAAGACTATATCTTTACACTGTTTTGCTGGCGCTTGAACACACTTTCCTGTTTATCTCAACAAATGGCCAAGCAAAGCGCACGACACTGACAAGGTAAGCGATACAGTACGAGACCAAACGCCATTAATTAATCATATGGTCTTATTTGGTGGGATATAAAAGTGCTCTAAGTAAATTAACTACTGAAATTGCAATGTTTCAGTATCAGTATAGTCATATAATATTAATGCCATCTGAGACTAAAACTAACATTTCGCTTTTCTTTGCAGGTGCCAGTAATGCAGATGCTATTACACCAGACAAAACAGAGGAATTTGCTGCTGAAGGTTCAAATATTAAAATATCCTGCAGTTATTCATCTGCATTGTCTTTACTTTGGTACCGTCAGTATCCCGGATCAGCTTCTGAGTTCCTTGTGCTCATCGTAGACAGTGTAAAAAAAAAACTCAGATGTCTGGTGTAGATTACAGACTCACTACTAATATCAGAAAAACAGAAAAACAAAACCATGTGGATCTGGAGATCTCCTCTGCTGCTGTATCAGACTCTGCTCTGTACTACTGTGCTCTGCAGCCCACAGTGACAGGAAACACAAGAACACTGAACAAAAACCTGACTATAAAAGAAAACAATGGTCTCCTAATGATAGGCAGAAATACAGTAGGATTTGAGGGTGAAACACTCATAAAAAAACTCTGAAACATTAAAAAAGATCAAATAACCAAGTTCACTTTAAATCTATGTACACAGAACTGCATAAAGCTCCCATATTTCCACAGAATTGGACCATTCACATCACCTGTGATCTTTGCGCCGCACATACTGTAGGCTATGCACACAATTGTAAATACAATGTAAGTACAATGATACAGTGGGGCAAAAAAGTATTTAGTCAGCCACCAATTGTGCAAGTTCTCCCACTTAAAACCCCACTGTACATGTTTGTCAGAAGTGAATATTATCAATAAATGAATGTTGGCGTTGGGAACAGTGTTAAATATTGCTCTGTCATATGCTATTATTGAATGTTCTCATAAAACTCATTCTGGTAAAATCTCTTTACAATAAAATCCTGAAGAGGGCAGTATACACACACTCCTACTTTTGTTTATGTTTAACCTCTCCTCTCCTTCTAAGAACCATCCTATTTCCTACTGAACCAAATGACTGAATGAATGAATGATTTCTCATTTTCTCCTGTTTCAGTCACACGTAAAATGATAACTCCTATGTTGTTGAAGTTGTTCATTTTTGCATCAGTGTATCATGGTAAGTGGGGGAATTTGTCATTTTGTAATTACTTAAAACAGTTTTATAACCTTACTATAGGTTAAATTTTTACAGTTTATTACATTTTTTAACGTCTTTACAGAGTGTCATGGAGAAGACAGTGTTGATCAGCCATATAAACACATCACTGAATTTGAAGGAAAACCAGTAACATTGCAATGCAAATATAAAACCGCTTCATCACAACCGGACCACTTCTGGTACATCCAAAGAGCTAATGACTTTCCCAAATACATGCTGAGGAGAAATAAATATGGAGGTGAAGATAATGACGCTCAGTTCCAGGAGAGATTTGACTCTGAAGTGTCATCAGATTCAGTTCCACTGACAATCAAGAATCTGCGTGTGTCTGACTCTGCTGTGTACTACTGTGCTCTGAGGCCCACAGTGACTGAAACACACTCAACACTCACACAAAAACAGAGGAAGTGCTCAATTACATGACTTGCAAATCTCCGTGGTATTGACTTCTGTACCACAACAATAACATGCATAAAATCAAAAATGTAAGTATTTTTAATTATTTGGTGTTTATCCACTCCTTACCTAACATTTACACGATTTTATGTCCTGTAAGTGAAAAGTACACTTTATAATGTAATTGCTAACAGCATTTATAAAAAAATTCATTAAATAAAAAATGTATGATTTTAAAGGTTACTGTACAATAAAATATAGTGCAAGATTCAAAATGTAAAATTATACCCTTCTCAAACGCCTGTATTTAAAATAGAGAGAATTAAAATTTTCACAACTCATCATCGTCGTACGTAATCAAAGAGGTGTGCTCTAAATAACTCTGTCCATCAAACACAAGACCGATACTGCTGTTAGACAAAGAAAGACTTATTGTTTGCAAAAAAGGTTTGCAAACTTTTTAAACTAATCTTGATTTGAAACTGCATTTCATAACCATCATGACCTGTGATCGGTGTAATATGAAAGGACGCACGTACAAATGTTCTTTACCGTAAAGTGGTTTACTGCTGTTTATGCATTAGTGAATCCAGTGACTAAACCATCAACTTTACACTGTTCCTATTAGTAGTGTGGAAACTCTGTTATCTATATTGTGATTATTTAAGATACAGAAAGCAATCAAAGATTGTTCTCTTTATAATCACTGGAGCAGTCAATTCAAGGTCAGCATGAATCTACATTTTCACTAAAACTCCTGTTATAATCAATGAGAGTTTACACTGCTCAACGCGTCATGTTTTCACTGTGTTAGTTATGGTAAAAGTATTTCAGATATGACTGCCACAGTGCAGCGCTGCAACCTTTCATGGAACAGGAGTTGTTCTAAATAAAATTCCATAATCAACACTTCTAATCACATCTAGTTAATTTTGGCAGCTGTTATAGTAAAATCACAGTAAATGTTTCAACACAGTTCCGCATGTGTTTACATTGAATTCTCACAGCAGACACGTTCCTTCCAACAGAGCTTCCAAATCCGAGATCTAAATTCAGGGTAGAAAATGCCCATTAATATTTAAATTTTTTTGAAAAAAAAGTTTTTGATGAAAAAAATTATAAGTCCTTTAAATTAATGTGACTTTCAAAGTATATTAAGCATGCTAATACTGTTTATTATGTACAAAATTACATTTATTACATACAAAATTATTCATACAAAAGTAGTCTATAGTTTATGTTTCATGGATTATCATGTGCAACACATTGTGCCAGTATAATGTGCCACAAGATGGCAGTGTTCTCAGAGATTCACTAGGAATTGCAGCAGAGAACAACAGAATTTAATTTACAGAACTGAACTTGGGTATAATGTGGCTCACAGAGGAGGGATTCAAGTGTTCACAGATCTGACATGATCTAACTGTGTATCACAGAGACTTTCAGTCTGACTCTTCCCAGAGTGAACACTTGTACAATGGATCTTCATTCAGTTATTCTATTTTGTGCATTAGCAGGTATTTATTTGGTTAATTATAAATTGTTCTGTTTTATTTAAAAGATTTCATTAAAAGTAAATGTTTTCTTTTTCAGCTTCTGTCTTTGGAAATGGCATCAAACCAAACAAAACCGATGTTGTTTATGAGGAGGGTTCAAATGTTACATTATCCTGTAGTCATTCACCTGCAGCTACAGATTATATCCACTGGTACCGTCAGTATGAAAGATCAAAACCTGAATTTCTTGTACTATCCTTCGCTGGTGCAAAAAAAGCTGAGGTGTCTGATGTAGATCCAAGATTTTCGGTTACAGTTGAAAAAAGGGAACAAATCCATGTGGATCTGAAGATCTCCTCTGCTGCTGTATCAGACTCTGCTCTGTACTACTGTGCTCTGGCGCCCACAGTGACAGGAAACACATCAGTTTCCTACAAAAACCTGTTACAATGGGAGAGGAGAGGAACACAGAGAAAGAGAAAAAGACAATGAGAAAGTGGTAACTAGCCATTACAATAATAAGTCAGAGAAATAACAGGAACAGTGAATAAATCTCAGGCAGTTACCTAAATCAAATGTAGACAACTCATTTAATCAGTCTATTGGTAAAGCAATCAAAAACAAAGGAACAGTATAAAAGTAAGTGAATTAAATCCCTACAATATTGTGATACAATATTGTTTAGAAAACAGTTAAATGTGGCAAACATCAAAACATCTCAAATGATTATCGTGTGCAATATAAGGGGCAGGATCATTTATGCCACATGACGGCAGTGTTCACACACATTCACGTGGAGATAATGCTATATTTCAAATGATATAATATATAAAAATAGCGAGACTATACAAATGCAAAATATTTTTTCAAATATATTTTCACCAGTTGATATTTCCATGATCATGACAAATGTGGGGAAATTAAACAGTCCAATATGCAAGCCATGCCTGTATGTTGCAGGAAGTTCCTGTGTGTGTTTCTGACTGATCTGCAGTGACTTACAGCTGAGAGCACTGAGAGACTCAACAGAGAACTGAACTGAACTGATAGAACATGGACAGATGCTTTATACTGATTCTCATTATGGGAACAGGTACATTATCGGCATCCTGGCCAAATTTGCGCATTGGCCTCTGATCATCATGGCCTCCTAACAATCCCCTTATCTACTGATTGGCTTCATCACTCTGTCTCCTCTCCACCAATAAGCTGGTGTGTGGTGGGCGTTCTGGTGCAGTATGGCTGCTGTCGCATCATCCAGGTGGATGCTGCACACTGGTGGTGAATGAGGAGATACCCCCTGACAATGTAAAGCGATTTGAGTGCCTAGAAAAGCACTATATATACTGTATGTAATTAATTATTATTATTTGCTGAACGGCTGATGAAACTGAACAGTTTTAAAACATAAAACCCCAAAAGCTATATGATTTAATTGACTGATTGCTGGTTTCATAAAAAAATCCATTGTATTTGCAATATTATTTAGTTTATTTTTCATTATTTGTTTATTACTATTTTGGTCATATGTGCTTATTGTTGACAGGTTTGGTGGCTGGAGACAATATTGAGCCAGATAAAGGGACAGAAAAACTTCTAAAGAAACAGAAACTGTCAAGCTGAGCTGCTCATATAGTACAAATAGTGATTATGTGTGTCTTTACTGCAGACAGTATCACAACAGAGAACCACAATTCTTATTATATAAATATGCAAGGTCATCACGTGGTTATGAAGACACCTCTGATAATCGGTTTCATTCGACTACAACACAAATATCCACTGAACTCACTATTACGGATGTATGTCTGTCAGATTCAGTTCTCTATTATTGTGCTCTAAGAGTAGTAGCCCAGTGATCAAAAACATGAGACGTGTACAAAAACCTGAAGCTCTTTTCACTTTGAAATTATCTAGTGAAAACCACAATCTATCCAGCTCTTAATGTAATAAAATATGTGGTCATACCTGTGTGAGTCTAAATTAGGCATGTTATAAAACTAAAACATTTATTAATTAATTAAATAAAATAACAATATGTACAGAGTATCACTGTTACGGGGCTGACGAGACGTG